GACACCCCATAGACACCCATAGACACCCCATAGACACCCATAGACACCCCATAGACACCCCATAGACACCCCTAGACACCCATAGACACCCATAGAGCCCCATAGACACCCCATAGACACCCATAGACACCCCTAGACACCCATAGACCCCCATAGACCCCCATAGACACCCATAGACACCCATAGACACCCCATAGACACCCATAGACACCCCATATCACCCCATAGACACCCATAGACACCCATAGACACCCCATAGACACCCATAGACACCCCATAGACACCCATAGACACCCCATAGACACCCCATAGAGCCCCATAGACACCCATAGACACCCCATAGACACCCATAGACACCCATAGACACCCCATAGACACCCCATAGACACCCATAGACACCCCATAGACACCCATAGACACCCATAGACACCCCATAGACACCCCATAGACACCCATAGACACCCCATAGACACCCATAGACACCCCATATCACCCCATAGACACCCCATAGACACCCATAGACACCCATAGACACCCCATAGACACCCCATAGACACCCCATATCACCCCATAGCCACCCCATATGTGCCCCATAGCGCCCCATAGCCACCCCCATCACCTCGGCCAGGTAGTCCTCGAGGTCGGCGAGGATGCGGATGTAGAAGCGGGGGGGCCCGTCCCGCTCCAGCACCCCCATAGAGCCCCATAGAGCCCCATAGAGCCCCATAGACACCCCATAGACACCCCTAGACACCCATAGACACCCATAGACACCCCATAGACACCCATAGACACCCCATAGACACCCATAGACACCCATAGACACCCATAGACACCCATAGACACCCCATAGACACCCATAGACACCCCATATCACCCCATAGCCACCCCATATGTGCCCCATAGCGCCCCATAGCCACCCCCATCACCTCGGCCAGGTAGTCCTCGAGGTCGGCGAGGATGCGGATGTAGAAGCGGGGGGGCCCGTCCCGCTCCAGCACCCCCATAGAGCCCCATAGAGCCCCATAGAGCCCCATAGACACCCCATAGAGCCCCATAGACACCCATAGACACCCATAGACACCCCATAGACACCCCATAGACACCCCATAGAGCCCCATAGACACCCCATAGCGCCCCATAGACACCCCATATCACCCCATAGACACCCCATAGACACCCATAGACACCCATAGACACCCCATAGACACCCATAGACACCCCATAGACACCCATAGACACCCCATAGACACCCCATATCACCCCATAGACACCCCATAGACACCCCATAGACACCCATATCACCCCATAGACCCCCATAGACACCCCATAGACACCCATAGACACCCATAGACACCCATAGACACCCATAGACACCCATAGACACCCCATAGACACCCATAGACACCCATAGACACCCATAGACACCCCATAGACACCCCATAGACACCCCATAGACACCCATAGACACCCCATAGACACCCCATAGACACCCATAGAGCCCCATAGACACCCATAGACATCCATAGACACCCCATAGACACCCCATAGACACCCATAGACACCCATAGACACCCCATAGACATCCATAGACACCCCATATCACCCCATAGACACCCCATAGACACCCATAGACACCCATAGACACCCATAGACACCCCATAGACACCCCATAGACACCCATAGACACCCATAGACACCCCATAGACACCCATAGACACCCATAGACACCCATAGACACCCCATAGACACCCCATAGACACCCCATAGACACCCCATATCACCCCATAGACACCCCATAGACACCCCATAGACACCCATAGACACCCCATATCACCCCATAGACACCCCATAGACACCCCATAGACACCCATAGACACCCCATAGACACCCATAGACACCCATAGACACCCCATAGACACCCCATATGTGCCCCATAGACACCCATAGACACCCCATAGACACCCATAGACACCCCATAGACACCCCATAGACACCCCTAGACACCCATAGACACCCATAGAGCCCCATAGACACCCCATAGACACCCATAGACACCCCTAGACACCCATAGACCCCCATAGACCCCCATAGACACCCATAGACACCCATAGACACCCCATAGACACCCATAGACACCCCATATCACCCCATAGACACCCATAGACACCCATAGACACCCCATAGACACCCCATAGACACCCATAGACACCCATAGACACCCCATAGACACCCATAGACACCCATAGACACCCATAGACACCCCATAGACACCCCATAGACACCCCATAGACACCCCATATCACCCCATAGACACCCCATAGACACCCCATAGACACCCATAGACACCCCATATCACCCCATAGACACCCCATAGACACCCCATAGACACCCATAGACACCCCATAGACACCCATAGACACCCATAGACACCCCATAGACACCCATAGACACCCCATAGACACCCCATAGACACCCATAGACACCCCATAGACACCCATAGACACCCCATAGACACCCCATAGACACCCCTAGACACCCATAGACACCCATAGAGCCCCATAGACACCCCATAGACACCCATAGACACCCCTAGACACCCATAGACCCCCATAGACCCCCATAGACACCCATAGACACCCATAGACACCCCATAGACACCCATAGACACCCCATATCACCCCATAGACACCCATAGACACCCATAGACACCCCATAGACACCCATAGACACCCCATAGACACCCATAGACACCCCATAGACACCCCATAGAGCCCCATAGACACCCATAGACACCCCATAGACACCCATAGACACCCATAGACACCCCATAGACACCCCATAGACACCCATAGACACCCCATAGACACCCATAGACACCCATAGACACCCCATAGACACCCCATAGACACCCATAGACACCCCATAGACACCCATAGACACCCCATATCACCCCATAGACACCCCATAGACACCCATAGACACCCATAGACACCCCATAGACACCCCATAGACACCCCATATCACCCCATAGCCACCCCATATGTGCCCCATAGCGCCCCATAGCCACCCCCATCACCTCGGCCAGGTAGTCCTCGAGGTCGGCGAGGATGCGGATGTAGAAGCGGGGGGGCCCGTCCCGCTCCAGCACCCCCATAGAGCCCCATAGAGCCCCATAGAGCCCCATAGACACCCCATAGACACCCCTAGACACCCATAGACACCCATAGACACCCCATAGACACCCATAGACACCCCATAGACACCCATAGACACCCATAGACACCCATAGACACCCATAGACACCCCATAGACACCCATAGACACCCCATATCACCCCATAGCCACCCCATATGTGCCCCATAGCGCCCCATAGCCACCCCCATCACCTCGGCCAGGTAGTCCTCGAGGTCGGCGAGGATGCGGATGTAGAAGCGGGGGGGCCCGTCCCGCTCCAGCACCCCCATAGAGCCCCATAGAGCCCCATAGAGCCCCATAGACACCCCATAGAGCCCCATAGACACCCATAGACACCCATAGACACCCCATAGACACCCCATAGACACCCCATAGAGCCCCATAGACACCCCATAGCGCCCCATAGACACCCCATATCACCCCATAGACACCCCATAGACACCCATAGACACCCATAGACACCCCATAGACACCCATAGACACCCCATAGACACCCATAGACACCCCATAGACACCCCATATCACCCCATAGACACCCCATAGACACCCCATAGACACCCATATCACCCCATAGACCCCCATAGACACCCCATAGACACCCATAGACACCCATAGACACCCATAGACACCCCATAGACACCCATAGACACCCCATAGACACCCCATATCACCCCATAGACACCCCATAGACACCCCATATCACCCCATAGACACCCATAGACACCCATAGACACCCCATATCACCCCATAGACACCCATAGACACCCCATAGACACCCCATAGACACCCATAGACACCCCATAGACACCCCATAGACACCCATAGACACCCATAGACACCCCATAGACACCCCATAGACACCCCATATCACCCCATAGACACCCATAGACACCCATAGACACCCCATATCACCCCATAGACACCCATAGACACCCCATAGACACCCCATAGACACCCATAGACACCCCATAGACACCCATAGACACCCATAGACACCCCATAGACACCCCATAGACACCCATAGACACCCCATAGACACCCATAGCCACCCCATATGTGCCCCATAGCGCCCCATAGCCACCCCCATCACCTCGGCCAGGTAGTCCTCGAGGTCGGCGAGGATGCGGATGTAGAAGCGGGGGGGCCCGTCCCGCTCCAGCACCCCCATAGAGCCCCATAGAGCCCCATAGAGCCCCATAGACACCCCATAGAGCCCCATAGACACCCATAGACACCCATAGACACCCCATAGACACCCCATAGACACCCCATAGAGCCCCATAGACACCCCATAGCGCCCCATAGACACCCCATATCACCCCATAGACACCCCATAGACACCCATAGACACCCCATAGACACCCCATAGACACCCATAGACACCCCATAGACACCCCATATCACCCCATAGACACCCATAGACACCCCATAGACACCCATAGACACCCATAGACACCCCATAGACACCCATAGACACCCATAGACACCCCATAGACACCCCATAGACACCCCATAGACACCCATAGACACCCCATAGACACCCCATAGACACCCACAGACACCCCATAGACACCCATAGACACCCCATAGACACCCCATAGACACCCATAGACACCCCATAGACACCCCATAGCCCCCCATAGCCCCCCCATAGACACCCATAGACACCCATAGACACCCATAGACACCCATAGACACCCATAGACACCCATAGACACCCCATAGACACCCCATAGACACCCCATATCACCCCATAGCCACCCCATATGTGCCCCATAGCGCCCCATAGCCACCCCCATCACCTCGGCCAGGTAGTCCTCGAGGTCGGCGAGGATGCGGATGTAGAAGCGGGGGGGCCCGTCCTGCTCCAGCACCCCCATAGAGCCCCATAGAGCCCCATAGACACCCATAGACACCCATAGACACCCCATAGACACCCATAGACACCCATAGACACCCCATAGACACCCCATAGACACCCATAGACACCCATAGACACCCATAGAGCCCCATAGACACCCATAGACACCCCATAGACACCCATAGACACCCCATAGACACCCCATAGACACCCATAGACACCCCATAGACACCCATAGACACCCCATAGACACCCATAGACACCCCATAGACACCCCATAGCCACCCCATATGTGCCCCATAGCGCCCCATAGCCACCCCCATCACCTCGGCCAGGTAGTCCTCGAGGTCGGCGAGGATGCGGATGTAGAAGCGGGGGGGCCCGTCCCGCTCCAGCACCCCCATAGAGCCCCATAGAGCCCCATAGAGCCCCATAGAGCCCCATAGACACCCCATAGACACCCATAGACACCCATAGACACCCATAGACACCCCATAGACACCCATAGACACCCCATAGACACCCATAGACACCCATAGACACCCCATAGAGCCCCATAGACACCCCATAGACACCCCATAGACACCCCATATCACCCCATAGACACCCATAGACACCCATAGACACCCCATAGACACCCCATAGACACCCACAGACACCCCATATCACCCCATAGCCACCCCATATGTGCCCCATAGCGCCCCATAGCCACCCCCATCACCTCGGCCAGGTAGTCCTCGAGGTCGGCGAGGATGCGGATGTAGAAGCGGGGGGGCCCGTCCCGCTCCAGCACCCCCTTGGCCTTGGCGAAGGCTCGGCCCAAGAGCTCGAAGTCCTCGAGGCACCGGGAAACGTCGCGGATCTTCATGGCATTGCGGATGGTGCGGATGAGCGCTGCCAGCTCCTCGAACCTGCCCCATAGCGACCCATAGAGACACATTGAGACCCATAGGGAACCATAGAGACCCATAGAGACACATAGGGACACATTGAGACCCATAGAGACCCATAGAGACACATTGAGACCCATAGGGAACCATAGAGATACATAGAGACCCATAGAGACACATAGGGACACATTGAGACCCATAGAGACCCATAGAGACACATTGAGACCCATAGGGAACCATAGAGATACATAGGGACACATAGAGACACATAGGGACACATAGGGACACATAGGGACACATAGAGACACATAGAGACACATAGAGACACATAGAGACACATAGAGACACATAGGGACACATAGGGACACATAGGGACACATAGAGACACATAGGGACACATAGGGACACATAGAGACACATAGGGACACATAGGGACACATAGGGACACATAGAGACACATAGAGACACATAGAGACACATAGGGACACATAGGGACACATAGGGACACATAGGGACACATAGGGACACATAGGGACACATAGAGACACATAGAGACACATAGAGACCCATAGGGACACATAGCGAGCCCCATAGAGCCCCACAGCAACCCCATAGAGTCCCATAGAGAGACCATAGGGACCCATAGCGAGCCCCATAGAGCCCCATAGCGACCCCATAGGGTCCCATAGAGAGACCATAGTGACCCATAGGGACCCATAGCAAGCCCCATAGAGCCCCATAGCAACCCCATAGAGAGACCATAGTGACCCATAGGGACCCATAGCGAGCCCCATAGAGCCCCATAGGGTCCCATAGAGAGACCATAGTGACCCATAGGGACCCATAGCGAGCCCCATAGCACCCCACAGCGACCCCATAGGGTCCCATGGAGAGACCATAGTGACCCATAGGGACCCATAGCGAGCCCCATAGAGCCCCACAGCGACCCCATAGAGTCCCATAGAGAGACCATAGGGACCCATAGCGAGCCCCATAGAGCCCCACAGCAACCCCATAGGGTCCCATAGAGAGACCATAGTGACCCATAGGGACCCATAGCGAGCCCCATAGAGCCCCACAGCGACCCCATAGGGTCCCATAGAGAGACCATAGTGACCCATAGGGACCCATAGCAAGCCCCATAGAGCCGCATAGGGTCCCATAGAGAGACCATAGTGACCCATAGGGACCCATAGCGAGCCCCATAGAGCCCCACAGCAACCCCATAGGGTCCCATAGAGAGACCATAGGGACCCATAGGGACCCATAGCGAGCCCCATAGAGCCCCACAGCGACCCCATAGGGTCCCATAGAGAGACCATAGTGACCCATAGGGACCCATAGCGAGCCCCATAGAGCCCCATAGGGTCCCATAGAGAGACCATAGTGACCCATAGGGACCCATAGCGAGCCCCATAGAGCCCCATAGCACCCTATAGGGTCCCATAGAGAGACCATAGTGACCCATAGGGACCCATAGCGAGCCCCATAGCGCCCCATAGCGACCCCACGGCTGCCCCCCCCCACCTCTTGTCCTTGGCGCTCCGGACCACGCGCTTCGTGTCCTCCTCATCCTCACTGAGCAGCAGGGGCCTATGGGGAGCAAGAGGCTGTGGGGCTGCCCCATAGAGACCCATAGAGACCCATAGGGACCCATAGAGACCCCATAGAGACCCATAGAGACCCCATAGAGACCCATAGGGACCCCATAGCACCCCACAGATACCCACAGACACACCACAAAGCCCCATAGACACCCATAGACACCCCACAGACCCCTAGAGACACCCCATAGCGCCCCATAGGCACCCCATAGTGCCCCATACACCCCTACACACTCCCCATAGTGCCCCACAGACACCTCATAGCACCCCATAAACACCCAACAGGCACCCCATAGCTCCCCATAGGCAGCCCATAGATACCCCACAGCCCCCCATAGCGCCCCATAGGCAACCATAGCCGCCCCATAGACACCCCATAGCCCCCCATAGCCACCATAGACACCCCATAGCGCCCCATAGCTACCCCATAGCCCCCCTTATCCACCCCATAGCCCCCCATAGACACTCCATATCCACCCCATAGATCCCCATATCCACCCCGTATCCACCCCATAGCGCCCCATATCCACCCCATAGCGCCCCCATATCCGCCCCATAGCGCCCCCATATCCCCCCCATAGCGCCCCATATCCCCCCCATATCCGCCCCATAGCGCCCCATAGACACCCCATATCCACCCCATAGCCACCCCATAGCCCCCCATAGACACTCCATATCCACCCCATAGGTCCCCATATCCACCCCGTATCCACCCCATAGCGCCCCATATCCACCCCATAGAGCCCCATATCCACCCCATAGCGCCCCATAGATCCCCATAGCCCCCCATAGACCCCCCATAGCCACCCCATAGCCCCCATAGAGCCCCAAAGCCCCCTATATCCCCCCATATCCACCCCATATCCGCCCCATAGCCCCCCATATCCACCCCATAGCGCCCCATATCCGCCCCATATCCACCCCATAGCGCCCCATATCCACCCCATAGCGCCCCATATCCGCCCCATATCCACCCCATAGCGCCCCATATCCACCCCATAGCGCCCCATATCCCCCCCATATCCCCCCATAGATCCCCATAGAGCCCCATAGCCCCCCATAGACCCCCCATAGCTACCCCATAGCGCCCCATATCCCCCCATATCCACCCCATATCCACCCCATATCCCCCCATATCCACCCCATATCCCCCCATATCCCCCCCATAAGCCCCCCATATCCACCCCATAACCCCCCATATCCGCCCCATATCCCCCCCATATCCCCCCCATATCCGCCCCATATCCCCCCCATATCCACCCCATATCCCCCCCATATCCGCCCCATAGCGCCCCATATCCCCCCCATATCCCCCCCATATCCACCCCACATCCCCCCCATATCCACCCCATATCCCCCCCATATCCCCCCCATATCCCCCCCATATCCGCCCCATAGCGCCCCATATCCCCCCCATATCCGCCCCATATCCACCCCATATCCCCCCCATATCCACCCCATATCCCCCCCATATCCACCCCATATCCCCCCCATATCCGCCCCATATCCACCCCATATCCCCCCCATATCCACCCCATATCCCCCCCATATCCGCCCCATATCCCCCCCATATCCCCCCCATATCCACCCCATATCCGCCCCACATCCCCCCCATATCCCCCCCATATCCGCCCCATATCCACCCCATATCCCCCCCATATCCACCCCATATCCCCCCCATATCCCCCCCATATCCACCCCATATCCGCCCCATATCCGCCCCATATCCGCCCCATAGCCACCCCATATCCCCCCATATCCCCCCCATAACCCCCCATATCCCCCCCATACCCCCCCATATCCGCCCCATATCCGCCCCATAGCGCCCCATAGCCACCCACTTGCTGTAGTTGCCCCCCGCAGGCTTTGGGGCGAGCTCGTCCCCCGAGGCCGAGGACTCGGATTCGCTGTCGGAGCCGGTGGTGAAGAAGCGCGACATGGTCCTGCTATGGGGCAGCCCCACACGTGTGACCCATAGGGACCCATAGGGACACATAGAGACCCCATAGGGACCCATAGGGACATGGTCCTGCTATGGGGCAGCCCCACACGGGTGACCCATAGGGACCCATAGGGACACATAGAGACCCCATAGGGACCCATAGGGACATGGTCCTGCTATGGGGCAGCCCCACACGGGTGACCCATAGGGACCCATAGAGAGCCATAGAGACCCATAGAGAGCCATAGGGACCCATAGAGACCCATAGGGACCCATAGAGACCCCTAGGGACCCATAGACACCCATAGGGACACATAGAGACCCATAGAGACCCATAGGGACCCATAGGGACCCATAGAGACACATAGGGACACATAGAGACCCCATAGGGACATGGTCCTGCTATGGGGCAGCCCCACACGTGTGACCCATAGGGACCCATAGGGACACATAGAGACACATAGAGACACATAGAGACCCCATAGGGACCCATAGAGACCCATAGGGACCCATAGGGACATGGTCCTGCTATGGGGCAGCCCCACACGTGTGACCCATAGGGACCCATAGGGACCCATAGAGACCCCATAGAGACCCCATAGGGACCCATAGAGACCCATAGGGACATGGTCCTGCTATGGGGCAGCCCCACACGGGTGACCCATAGGGACCCATAGAGAGCCATAGAGACCCCATAGGGACCCATACGGAGCCATAGAGACCCATAGGGACCCCATAGGGACATGGTCCTGCTATGGGGCAGCCCCACACGTGTGACCAGTAGGGACCCATAGCACCCATAGCCCCCCCCAGACCCCCACAGACACCCCATAGAACCCATAGCGCCCCATAGACCCCATAGCACCCCATAGAACCCATAGATGACCCCATAGCGCCCCAGACCCCCATAGACCCCATAGAACCCATAGCGCCCCACAGACCCCCCGTAGCCCCCCATCAACCCTCACAGGCCCCATAGAACCCCTATATCCCCATAGACCCCATAGAACCCCATAGGCCCTCAGATCCACCCCACAGACACCCCACAGGCCCCCATAGACCCCATAGCCCCCCACAGACCCCACATATCACCCGTAGCCCCCCATAGCGCCCCATAGCCCATATCCACACCATAGACACCCCATAGAGCCCCATAGGGACCCCACAGCGCCCCATAGACCCTCATAGTGCCTCATAGACCCTCATATCAACCACACAGACCCCCATAGAACCCATAGATCCCCATAGCGCCCCATAGACACCCCATAGCCCCCCATAACACCCCATAGGCCCCATAGTGCCCCATAGACACCCCATAGACCCTCATATCCACCCCACAGACCCCCCCAGACACCCCACAGCACCCCATAGGCCCCATAGCCCCCCACAGACACCCCACAGCACCCCATAGAGACCCCATAGTGCCCCATAGACCCTCATATCCACCCCATAGACCCCCACAGACACCCCACAGGCCCCCATAGAACCCATAGATCCCATAGCACCCCATAGCGCCCCATAGATCCCCATAGGCCCCCATAGAACCCATAGATCCCATAGCACCCTATAGCGCCCCATAGATCCCCATAGAACCCATAGATGGCCACAGGGACCCCAGAGCCCCATAGACCCCATAGCGCCCCACAGCCCCCCATATCCACCCCATATCCACCCCACAGGCCCCCATAGAACCCACAGATCCCCATAGCGCCCCATAGACACCCCATAGCCCCCCATAGGGCCCATAGCCCCCCATAGACACCCCATAGCGCCCCATAGACACCCCATAGGCCCCATAGCCCCCCATAGCGCCCCATAGACCCCCATAGACACCCCATAGGCCCCATAGCCCCCCATAGCGCCCCATAGACCCCCATAGGCCCCATAGGCCCCATAGACCCCCATTGACGCCCCATAGCCCCCCATAGGCCCCATAGCGCCCCATAGCGCCCCATAGCGCCCCATAGACACCCCATAGGCCCCATAGCCCCCCATAGCGCCCCATAGACCCCCATAGACACCCCATAGGCCCCATAGCCCCCCATAGCGCCCCATAGACCCCCATAGGCCCCATAGGCCCCATAGACCCCCATTGACGCCCCATAGCCCCCCATAGGCCCCATAGCGCCCCATAGCGCCCCATAGCGCCCCATAGACACCCCATAGGCCCCATAGCCCCCCATAGCGCCCCATAGCGCCCCATAGACACCCCATAGCGCCCCATAGCCCCCCCATTACCCTCACGCCGCAGCCCTGCACGCTGCTGCGGCCGGAAGTGACGCAACCCCAAAAGGCCCCGCCCCCTTCCTCCTTCCCCTTCCCGCGCTTTCCGCTTCCGGCGCGCGCGCGGGAAAGGCATGGCGGGAAAGCGAGTTCCTGGCGGGAAGCGCGGGCCACGCCCCCCTCCCGACCACGCCCCCCTCCAGGCCACGCCCCCTTTGCCCATAGAGAGGCTGCAGGCGGTGATGGGGGGGGGGAAGAGGTTTATTGGGGCTATGGGGCTCTATGGGGCGCTATGGGGTTTCTATGGGGCTCTATGGGCCGCTATGGGGCTCTATGGGTCCCTATGGGGCTCTATGGGGTTCCAATGGGGCTCTATGGGGCTCTATGGGGTCCCTATGGGGTTCTATGAGTCCCTATGGGGCTCTATGGAGCTCTATGGGGCTCTATGGGGTCCCTATGGGGTTCTATGAGTCCCTATGGGGCTCTATGGAGCTCTATGGGGCACTATGGGGCCCCTATGGGGCTCTATGGGGTCCCTATGGGGCTCTATGGGTCTCTATGGGTCTCTATGGAGCTCTATGAGTCCCTACGGGGCTCTATGGGGTTCTATGGGTCCCTATGGGGTCTCTATGGGGCTCTATAGGGCTCTATGGGGTCTCTATGGGGCTCTAAGGGGCTCTATGGGGTTCTATGCAGTCCCTATGGGGTTCTATGGGTCCCTATGGGGCTCTATGGAGCTCTATGGGGCGCTATGGGGTCCCTATGGGGCTCTATGGGGTCTCTATGCGGCTCTATGGAGCTCTATGGGATCCCTATGGGGCTCTATGGGGCTCTATGGGGTCTCTATGGGGCGCTATGGGTCTCTATGGGTCCCGCTATGGGGCACAGAGCCCCTTGTGCAGCCCCATGGCCGCGACCCCGGCCAAGGCCACGCCCAGCGACTGCCCCAGTGACGTCACGGCCACGGCCAGGCCACGCCCCCGAGGGGGCGCCTGCGGGAGACACCCAAGGTCAGGGAGCCCCATAGAGACCCATAGAGACCCATAGAGACCCATAGAGACCCCATAGGGACCCATAGAGAACCATAGAGACCCATAGAGACCCATAGGGACCCATAGAGACCCATAGAGACACATAGAAATCCATAGAGACACATTGGGACCCATAGAGATTCATAGAGACCCATAGAAACCTCACAGAGAACCGTAGAGACCCACGGAGACCCCATAGAGACCCCATAGAGACCCATAGAGACCCCATAGGGACCCATAGGGACCCATAGAGACCCATAGAGACCCCATAGGGACCCCATAGGGACCCATAGAGACCCATAGAGACCCCATAGAGACCCCATAGGGACCCCATAGAGACCCATAGGGACCCCATAGGGACCCATAGAGACCCATAGAGACCCATAGGGACCCATAGAGACCCATAGAGACACATAGAGACCCCATAGGGACCCATAGAGAACCATAGAGACCCATAGAGACCCATAGAGACCCATAGGGACCCATAGAGACCCATAGGGACCCATAGAGACCCGTAGAGACCCCATAGAGACCCATAGAGACCCCATAGGGACCCATAGAAACCCATAGGAACCCCATAGGGACCCCATAGGGACCCATAGAGACCCATAGGAACCCCATAGAGACCCATAGAGATCCATAGGGACCCATAGAGACCCATAGGGACCCATAGGGACCCATAGTGACCCATAGGGACCCATAGAGACCCATAGGGACCCCATAGGGACCCCATATGGACCCATAGAGACCCATAGAGACCCATAGGGACCCCATAGAGCCCCATAGAGACCCATAGGGACCCATAGAGACCCATAGGGACCCCATAGGAACCCCATAGAGACCCATAGAGACCCACACATGCCCCTCCCCCCCTTATAACCCCACCCCAGAGCCCCTTGCCCCGCCCCTCCTTGGCCCCTCCCATTTCCCCAAGGCCCCGCCCCTACCCCAAGCCCCGCCCCCCCATTGGCCCCCATTGGCCCCTGTTTCCTTCCCCCCCCCTTAAACCCCGCCCCCCCGCTCCCATTGGCCCCTATTGACCCCGCCCTTTCCCCTTTAAACCCCACCCTCAAGCTCCCATTGGTCCTCATTGACCCCGCCCCTTTCCCCAAGCCCCGCCCCCATTTATCCCCATTGACTCCTCCCCCCTTAAGCCCCGCCCCTCATTGGTCCCCATTGGCTCCACCCCCCTCCCTACCTTAAGCCCCGCCCCCTCCCATTGGCCCCCATTGACCCCACCTCTTCCCCAAGCCACGCCCCCATTGACCCCACCCTTCCCCCCTTAAGTCCCGCCCCCTTGCTCCCATTGGCCCCCATTGACCCCACCCCTTCCCCAAGCCACGCCCCTCCCTTCATCTCCCATTGGTCCCCATTGGCCCCTCTTCCCCTTCCCCCTTTAAGCCCCACCCCCCTTGCTCCCATTGGTCCCCATTGACCCCGCCCTTTCCCCAAGCCCCGCCCCCACTGGTCTCCATTGCCCCTATCCCCTCCCCTCTTAAGCCCCGCCCCCCTTGCTCCCATTGGTCCCCATTGACCCCTCCCTTTCCCCAAGCCACGCCCCCATTGACCCCACCCTTCCCCTCTTAAGCCCCGCCCCCCTTGCTCCCATTGGCCCCCATTGACCCCGCCCCTTTCCCAAGCCACGCCCCTCCCTCCATCTCCCATTGGTCCCCATTGGCCCCTCTTCCCCTTCCCCCTTTAAGCCCCGCCCCCCTTGCTCCCATTGGTCCCCATTGACCCCGCCCTTCCCCCAAGCCCCGCCCCCATTGACCCCACCCTCCCCCCTTAAGCCCCGCCCCCTTGCTCCCATTGGGCCCCCTTGACCCCGCCCCTTCCCCAAGCCACACCCCTCCATCTCCCATTGGTCCCCATTGACCCCTGCTCCCCTTAAGCCCCGCCCCCAAGCTCCCATTGGTCCCCATTGACCCCCAAGCCACGCCCCCCCCCCCCCCGCCCTTATTGGCCCCCATTGGCCCCTTTAAGCCCCGCCCCCATCGACCCCCTCCCCCCCTTTTACCCCCTCCCCCTTCGCCCCCATTGGCCCGCACAGGCCCCGCCCCCTCACCCGCTGCCCCACCAATAGGAAGGCGCCCCCGTAGGCCGCGCCCCCCACAAGCCCCTCCCACAGCACGAGGGCGAAGGCCACGCCCACCGCGGGCAGGAAGGGCGCCAGGACGGCAGCCAATAGGAGAGCGGCGTTCAGCACCTGGGGGGGCGGGGCTTGGGTCAGGTGGGGGGGGGGGGGGGGGGCCTCATAGGGGCCTATGGGGCTGGAACAAGGGGGTTATGGGGGGCACTTATGGGGCTATGGGGTACTTATGGGGCACGTCTATGGGGCACTTATGGGGCACTTCTATGGGGCACTTATGGGGCACTTATGGGGCACTTCTATGGGGCACTTATGGGGCACTTCTATGGGGCACTTATGGGGCACTTCTATGGGGCACTTCTATGGGGCACTTCTATGGGGCACTTATGGGGCACTTCTATGGGGCACTTATGGGGCACTTCTATGGGGCACTTCTATGGGGCACTTATGGGGCACTTCTATGGGGCACTTCTATGGGGCACTTCTATGGGGCACTTATGGGGCACTTCTATGGGGCACTTATGGGGCACTTATGGGGCACTTATGGGGCACTTCTATGGGGCACTTCTATGGGGCACTTATGGGGCACTTCTATGGGGCACTTATGGGGCACTTCTATGGGGCACTTCTATGGGGCACTTATGGGGCACTTCTATGGGGCACTTATGGGGCACTTATGGGGCACTTATGGGGCACTTCTATGGGGCACTACTATGGGGCACTACTATGGGGCACTTCTATGGGGCACTTATGGGTCACTTCTATGGGGCACTTCTATGGGGCACTTATGGGGCACTTATGGGGCACTTCTATGGGGCACTTCTATGGGGCACTTATGGGGCTGGAATAGGGAGTTATGGGGGCACTTATGGGGCTGGAGAGACACTTATGGGGCTGGGAGTGGCACTTATGGGGCACTTCTATGGGGCACTTCTATGGGGCACGTCTATGGGGCACTTAGGGGCTGGAATAGGGAGTTATGGGGGTACTTGTGGGGCTGGGGGGCACTTATGGGGCACTTCTACGGGGCACTTATGGGGCTGGAATAGGGGGGTTATGGGGTTACTTGTGGGGCTAGGGGGGGTACTTATGGGGCTGGAGAGACACTTATGGGGCTGGGAGTAGCACTTACAGGGCATTTCTATGGGGCACTTATGGGGCTGGAATAGGGAGTTATGGGGGGCACTTATGGGGGTATGGGGTACTTATGGGGCTGGGGCAGTACTTGTGGGGTCGGGGTGGTACTTATGGGGCACTACTATGGGGCACTTATGGGGCTGGACTAGGGAGTTAGGGGGGTACTTGTGGGACTGGGGGGGCACTTATGGGGCACTTCTATGGGGCACTTATGGGTCTGGAATAGGGAGTTATGGGGTTACTTGTGGGGCTAGGGGCGTACTTATGGGGCTGGAGAGACACTTATGGGGCTGGGAGTGGCACTTATGGGGCTCTTCTATGGGGCACTTCTATGGGGCACTTATGGGTCTGGAATAGAGGGTTATGGGGGCACTTATGGGGCTATGGGGTACTTATGGGGCTGGGGCAGTACTTGTGGGGTGGGGGTGGTACTTATGGGGCTGGAATAGGGAGTTATGGGGGAACTTATGGGGTTGGGGGCACTTATGGGGCTACAGGGCACTTATGGGGCACTTCTATGGGGCACTTATGGGGCTGGAATAGGGAGCTACGGGGGCATAACTGGGATAGGATGGAACAATTATGGGGCTGCCCCACAGATGTGGGTCTAGGAGTGTCACTTATGGGTCAGGAGTGATCTATGGGGCTGGGAAGGGGGCACTTATGGGGCTGCCCCCCAAGTGTGGGTCAGGAGTGGGTTATGGGGTGCTTATGTGAAGATCTATGGGTCTGCCCCACATACGTGGGTCTGGGAGTGTCACTTAGGGGTCACAAGTGATCTATGGGGCTGGTAGGGAGGCACTTATGGGGCTGCCCCCCAAGTGTGGGTCAGGAGCGGGTTATGGGGCAGCGGTTATGGGGTGCTCTATGGGGTGGGGGGGGGAGGGGGCCACTTATGGGGCTGCCCCCTAAGTGTGGGTCAGTACGTTATGGGACAGTGGTTGTGGGGTGCTCTATGGGGTGGGGGGGGCACTTATGGGGCTGCCCCCCAAGTGTGGGTCAGGAGTGGGTTATGGGGTGCTTATGTGAAGATCTATGGGTCTGCCCCACATATGTGGGTCTAGGAGTGTCACTTATGGGTCAGGAGTGATCTATGGGGCTGGTAGGGAGGCACTTACGGGGCTGCCCCCCAAGTGTGGGTCAGGAGCGGGTTATGGGGCAGTGGTTGTGGGGTGCTCTATGGGGTGGGGGGGGCACTTACGGGGCTGCCCCCCAAGTGTGGGTCAGGAGTGGGTTATGGGGTGCTTATGTGAAGATCTATGGGTCTGCCCCACATATGTGGGTCTAGGAGTGTCACTTAGGGGTCAGGCGTGATTTATGGGGCTGGTAGGGAGGCACTTATGGGTCTGCCCCCCAAGTGTGGGTCAGAAGCAGGTTATGGGGCAGTGGTTGTGGGGTGCTCTATGGGGTGGGGGGGGGGGCACTTATGGGGCTGCCCCCCAAGTGTGGGTCAGAAGCAGGTTATGGGGCAGTGGTTGTGGGGTGCTCTATGGGGTGGGGGGGGGCACTTATGGGGCTGCCCCCCAAGTGTGGGTCAGGAGCGGGTTATGGGGCAGTGGTTGTGGGGTGCTCTATGGGGTGGGGGGGGGGCACTTATGGGGCTGCCCCCCAAGTGTGGGTCAGAAGCAGGTTATGGGGCAGTGGTTGTGGGGTGCTCTATGGGGTGGGGGGGGGGCACTTATGGGGCTGCCCCCCAAGTGTGGGTCAGGAGCGGGTTATGGGGCAGCGGTTGTGGGGTGCTCTATGGGGTGGAGGGGGGGCACTTATGGGGCTGCCCCCCAAGTGTGGGTCAGAAGCAGGTTATGGGGCAGCGGTTGTGGGGTGCTCTATGGGGTGGGGGGGTCACTTATGGGGCTGCCCCCCAAGTGTGGGTCAGGAGCGGGTTATGGGGCAGTGGTTGTGGGGTGCTCTATGGGGTGGGGGGGGGGCACTTATGGGGCTGCCCCCCAAGTGTGGGTCAGAAGCAGGTTATGGGGCAGTGGTTGTGGGGTGCTCTATGGGGTGGGGGGGGGGCACTTATGGGGCTGCCCCCCAAGTGTGGGTCAGAAGCAGGTTATGGGGCAGTGGTTGTGGGGTGCTCTATGGGGTGGGGGGGGCACTTATGGGGTCTCATTGGAACCCTATGGGTCAGGATGGGTCTATGGGGCTCTGGTCTGTGGGGTGCTCTATGGGGTCCCGGGGGGGCACTTATGGGGCTGGCCCCTATGTATGGGTCAGAAGCGGTTATGGGGCAGTGGTTGTGGGGTGCTCTATGGGGTCTATGGGGCAGGGGCACTTATGGGGCTGCCCCCCAAGTGTGGGTCCAGGAGGGGTTATGGGGCAGCGGTTGTGGGGTGCTCTATGGGGTGGAGGGGGGGCACTTATGGGGCTGCCCCCCAAGTGGTCAGAAGCAGGTTATGGGGCAGCGGTTGTGGGGTGCTCTATGGGGTGGGGGGGTCACTTATGGGGCTGCCCCCCAAGTGTGGGTCAGGAGCGGGTTATGGGGCAGTGGTTGTGGGGTGCTCTATGGGGTGGGGGACACAGGCCCCAGCAGGACCCCATACCCATAGGGACCCATAGAGACCCATAGAGAACCCATAGAGGACCCAAATAGAGCGGAAGGCCGGAGCGGGAGGCGAAGACCCCGACCTGGTAAAGGAGCTGGGCCCTGGTGTGGGGCAGCCCCATAGAGAGACACAGAGACCCATAGGGACCCATAGGGACCCATAGGGACCCATAGAGACCCATAGGGACCCCATAGGGACCCATAGAGACCCATAGAGAACCCATAGAGACCCATAGAGACCCATAGAGACCCCATAGGGACCCCATAGGGACCCATAGAGACCCATAGAGAACCCATAGAGACCCATAGAGACCATAGGGACCCATAGAGACCCATAGAGACCCATAGAGACCCATAGGGACCCATAGAGACCCATAGGGACCCATAGGGACACCATAGAGACCCCCCAGAGACCCATAGAGACCCCATAGAGACCCATAGGGACCCATAGGGTCCCATAGAGACCCCATAGAGACCCATAGGGACCCCATAGAGACCCCATAGAGACCCATAGAGAGAGACCCCATAGAGACCCCACAGAGAACCCATAGAGACCCATAGGGACCCCATAGAGACCCATAGGGACCCATAGAGACCCCTTAGAAACCCCATAGAGACCCCATAGAGACCCATAGAGACCCATAGGGACCCCATAGAGACCCATAGGGACCCCATAGAGACCCATAGAGACCCCTTAGAAACCCCATAGAGACCCCATAGAGACCCATAGAGACCCATAGAGACCCCATAGAGACCCCCAGAGACCCATAGAGACCCATAGTGACCCATAGGGACCCCATAGAGACCCATAGATCCCACACACGCTATGGGGCTCACCACCGGTACTGCTCGTTGTGGGTCAGGGAGGATGTGGGGAAGTACAAGAGGTCCAGCTGAGGGGAGAGCAATGTGTGGGGCTGGACCCATAGCGCGACCCATAGAGACCTATAGAGACCCACAGAGACCCCATAGAGACCCACAGAGACCCCATAGAGACCCATAGAGACCCACAAAGACCCCATAGAGACCCATAGAGACCCAACAGAGCCCTCTAGAGCCCCATAGAACCCACCCTATAGCGCTGATGCCAGCCCTATGGCACCAGCCCCATAGAACCGGCCCCTGCCCCATAGCTGCCCAGCCCCACAGCTGCCCTATAGGTGCCCCATAGCAACCCCAGCCCCATAGCTACCCCATAGCCCCTCCTGCCCCATAGCTGCCCATAGCCCTTCAGCCCCATAGTTACCCCATAGCCCCCCTTCCCCTTACTCCCCCCTGCCCCATAGCTGCCCCATAACATCCCTGCCCCATAGGTACCCCATAGCTGCCCCATAGCCTTCCAGCCCCATAGGTACCCCATAGCCCACCTGCCCCATAGCTGACCCATTGCCCCACACAGCCCCATAGCTGCCCCATAGAACCTCACAGACGCCCATACTCCCCCTGCCCCATAGCTCCCCCATAGCTGCCCCATAGCACCTCATAGACCCCTGTACTCCCCATACCTACACCATAGCTGCCCCATAGCTACCCCATAGCTACCCCATAGCTGCCCCATAGCTGCCCCATACCTACCCCATAGCTACCCCTAGCTGCCCCATAGCTACCCCATAGCTGCCCCATACCTACCCCATAGCTGCCCCATAGCTACCCCATAGCTGCCCCATAGCTGCCCCATAGCTGCCCCATAGCTGCCCCATACCTACCCCATAGCTGCCCCATAGCTGCCCCATACCTACCCCATAGCTGCCCCATAGCTGCCCCATAGCTGCCCCATACCTACCCCATAGCTGCCCCATAGCTGCCCCATACCTACCCCATAGCTACCCCATACCTACCCCATAGCTGCCCCATAGCTACCCCATAGCTACCCCATACCTACCCCATAGCTACCCCATACCTACCCCATAGCTACCCCATAGCTGCCCCATAGCCACCCCATAGCTACCCCATACCTACCCCATACCTACCCCATAGCTACCCCATACCTACCCCATAGCTACCCCATAGCTACCCCATAGCTACCCCATAGCTGCCGCATAGCTGCCCCACAGCTGCCCCATAGCTACCCCATAGCTGCCCCATAGCTACCCCATACCTACCCCATAGCTGCCCCATAGCTACCCCATAGCTACCCCATAGCTGCCCCATAGCTGCCCCATAGCTACCCCATAGCTACCCCATAGCTGCCCCATAGCTACCCCATAGCTACCCCATAGCTGCCCCATAGCTGCCCCATAGCTACCCCATAGCTACCCCATAGCTGCCCCATAGCTACCCCATAGCTACCCCATAGCTACCCCATAGCTGCCCCATAGCTGCCCCATAGCACCTCATAGACCCCCGTACTCCCCATAGCTGCCCCATAGCTGCCCCATAGCTGCCCCATACCTACCCCATAGCTGCCCCATAGCTACCCCATAGCTACCCCATACCTACCCCATAGCTACCCCATAGCTGCCCCATAGCTACCCCATAGCTGCCCCATAGCTACCCCATAGCTACCCCATACCTACCCCATAGCTGCCCCATAGCTACCCCATAGCTACCCCATAGCTGCCCCATAGCTACCCCATAGCTGCCCCATAGCTACCCCATAGCTACCCCATACCTACCCCATAGCTGCCCCATAGCTGCCCCATAGCTACCCCATAGCTGCCCCATAGCTACCCCATAGCTACCCCATAGCTGCCCCATACCTACCCCATAGCTGCCCCATAACTGCCCCATAGCTACCCCATAGCTACCCCATAGCTGCCCCATAGCTACCCCACAGCTACCCCATACCTACCCCATAGCTACCCCATAGCTGCCCCATACCTGCCCCATACCTACCCCATAGCTACCCCATAGCTGCCCCATAGCTGCCCCATAGCTACCCCATACCTACCCCATAGCTGCCCCATAGCTGCCCCATAGCTGCCCCATAGCTGCCCCATACCTACCCCATAGCTGCCCCATAGCTACCCCATAGCTACCCCATAGCTGCCCCATAGCTGCCCCATACCTACCCCATAGCTACCCCATAGCTACCCCATAGCTGCCCCATAGCTGCCCCATAGCCCCCCCCCACTCACCACCCCCTGGTTAATGAAGTACTCCGCCAAGTAAACGACAGCCAATGGGAACGCATCCGGCAGCGCGCCCTGAGGGACCGGGAGCCAATCAGAGGCCGAGGCCTCCCCTTTGAAGCCCCGCCCCCCCCCGTTTAAGCCCCGCCCCCTTACCTTGACCACGCCCCAGCGCTCCCCCCACGTGACCCCCGCGGTGGGGGGGGGCGGCTCCGTGGGGCGGGGAGGGGGAGGGGGGGGGAGGAGGAGGAAGAAGAAGCTGGGGGAGATGGGGGGGAGGGGCTATGGGGCTCTGCCCCATAGGGACCCATAGGGACCCCATGGGACCCATAGAGCCCCATAGAGCCCCATAGAGACCCCATAGAGCCCCATAGGACCCCATAGGGACCCATAGAGCCCCATAGAGACCCATAGGGACTCATAGAGCCCCATAGAGACCCATAGGGACCCCATAGGGACCCATAGAGCCCCATAGATCCCCATAGAGCCCCATAGAGACCCCATAGAGCCCCATAGGGACCCATATAGCCCCATAGATCCCCATAGAGACCCCATGGAGACCCATAGAGACCCCATAGAGCCCCATAGAGACCCCATAGAGCCCCATAGAAACACCCCTGCCCCCCAAGCCCCACCCACTCCCTCCAAGCCCCCTCCCCTCACCCCATTGGCCACGCCACAAGCCCCGCCCCCTTCACCCCCATTGCCCCCCCAAAGCCCCAACCCCTCCCCCCCCATTGACCCCGCCCCCTTTTGGCCATTCCCACCGCAAAGCCCCGCCCCCTCTCTCCCCTTGGCCCCGCCCCCCTCTATACCCCTTGGCCCCTCCCCCTTGCGCCCCCCCCCAAGCCCCGCCCCCTCTTGGCCATTCCCACCCCCAAAGCCCCGCCCCCCTCCCCCCAAGCTCCGCCCCCTCTTACCCCATTGGCCCCGCCCCCCTCCCTATTGGCTCCGCCCCCTCCCCCCTTTGCCCCCCCCCCCCAAGCCCCACCCCCTCTTGGCCATTCCAACCCCCAAAGCCCCACCCCCTCTCCCCCATTGGCCCCGCCCCATCCTCCTTAGCCCCGCCCCCCCTCAACCCTTTGGCCCCGCCCCCTCTTGGCCACCCCCCAAGCCCCGTCCCCTCCCCCCTTTGGCCCCGCCCCCCCATTGCCCCCCAAGCCCCGCCCCCTCTCCCCCATTGACTCCGCCCCCCTCAGCACCACCCCCTCTCCCCCCAAGCCCCGCCCCCTTGGCCCCGCCTCCTCTCACCCCATTGGTCCCACCCCTCTTGGCCATTCCCACCCCCAAAGCCCCGCCCCCTCCCCCCTAAGCTCCGCCCCCTCTTACCCCATTGGCCCGCCCCCTCCCCCCTTTGGCCCATCCCCCATCCCCCCCAAGCCCCGCCCCCTCTTGGCCATTCCCATCCCCAAAGCCCCGCCCCCTCTCCCCCCATTGACCCCGCCCCATCCTCCTTAGCCCCCGCCCCCCATTGGCCCCGCCCCCTATTGGCCACCCCCCAAGCCCCGCCCCCCATTGCCCCAAGCCCCGCCCTCCCTCCCCCATTGACTCCGCCCCCTCCAGCACCACCCCCTCTCCCCCCCAAGCCCCGCCCCCTTGGCCCCGCCTCCTACATTGGCCCCACCCCTCTTGGCCATTCCCATCCCCAAAGCCCCACCCCCCTCTCCCCCCATTGGCCCCGCCCCTCCTCCTAAGCCCCGCCCCCTCTCCCCCATTGACCCCGCCACCATTGGTCCCGCACCCCCCCATTGGCTCCGCCCCATTGGCTCCGCCCCCTTGGCCCCGCCCCCTTGGCCCCGCCCCCTCACCTCAGCGCCGTCCCCATTGGCAGCGCGGCCGCGGGCAGCAGGGCCCGGAGAGGCCAAGCCCCGCCCCCAGCCCCGCCCCGCCCCACAGCGACCCCCAGAGCCCCGCGGCGCCCGTGCCCGAGGCCCAGCCCCATAGAGCGGCCCTGGGGGGGAAGGGTCAGCGATGGGGACCCATAGGGACACATAGGGACCTATAGAGACCCCATAGGGACCCATAGAGACCCATAGGGACCCATAGAGACACATAGAGACACATAGAGACACATAGGGACCCATAGGGACACATAGAGACCCATAGAGACCCATAGAGACCCATAGAGACCCATAGAGACACATAGAGACCCATAGGGACCCATAGGGACCCATAGGGACCCATAGAGACCCATAGGGACACATAGGGACACATAGAGACCCATAGAGACCCATAGAGACACATAGAGACCCATAGGGACACATAGGGACACATAGGGACACATAGAGACCCATAGAGACCCATAGAGACCCATAGAGACCCATAGAGACACATAGAGACCCATAGGGACCCATAGGGACCCATAGGGACCCATAGAGACCCATAGGGACACATAGGGACACATAGAGACCCATAGAGACCCATAGAGACACATAGAGACCCATAGGGACACATAGGGACACATAGGGACCCATAGAGACCCCATAGAGACACATAGAGACACATAGGGACCCATAGGGACCCATAGGGACCCATAGGGACCCATAGAGACCCCATAGGGACCCATAGGGACCCATAGGGACCCCATAGAGACACATAGAGACACATAGGGACCCATAGGGACACATAGGGACCCATAGAGACCCATAGGGACACATAGGGACACATAGGGACACATAGGGACCCATAGAGACACATACAGACCCATAGGGACCCATAGAGACCCATAGAGACCCATAGAGACCCATAGAGATCACATAGAGACACATAGAGACCCCATAGGGACCCATAGAGACCCCATAGAGACCCATAGCAACCCATAGAGAGACCCATAGAGACCCAAAGGGACCCATAGAGAAACACAGGGACCCATAGAGACGCCATAGGGAACCATAGAGACCCATAGAGACCCCATAGACACCCCATAGAGACCCACAGGGACAGAAGCCCATAGAGACCCATAGAAACCCATAGCCACCCCATAGAGACCCCATAGGGACCAATAGAGACCCATAGGAAACCCACAGCTACCCCATAGGGACCCATAGCCACCCCATAGAGACCCCATAGAAACCCATAGCCACCCCATAGGGACCCATAGCCACCCCATAGAGACCCCATAGGGACCCATAGAAACCCCATAGCCACCCCACAGAGCCCCCACAACCAACCCCCCCCCAGCCCCTCCCCTGCCCCATAGACTCCCATTCTACCCCGCCCCCTCCCTTAGCCCCGCCCCCCCGGGGGGTCACGTGACCCCGCCCCTCCTCACGTGGGGTAGGCGGAAGCCAAGGTCACCAGCGTCACCTCCCCCAGCCCCGAGGCGGCGCTGGCCAATGAGACGGCTGCAAAGGGGGGGGGGGGGGGGGGGCGGGGTCATGGGACCCCAGCCCCTCCCACCCATCACCACGTGACCACAGCCCCTTCCCCCCCCCCACGTGACCCCAGCCCCTCCCACGTGACCCCAAGCCCCTGTGTGACCCCTGCCCCCCATGTGATCTCATGTGACCCCTGCCCCACACGTGACCTGTCCCCCTTATGGGGCCCCTGACCCCCATGTGACCCAAAGTGACCCCTGCCCCATACGTGACCCAAAGTGACCCCTGACCTCCACGTGACCCCAAGCTCCTGTGTGACCCCTGCCCCCCATGTGACCCAAAGTGACCCCTGCCCCACACGTGACCCCACGTGATCCCAGCCCCACACGTGACCCCACATGAACCCTGCCCTCCACGTGACCCCAAGTGACCCCTGCCCCATACGTGACCCAAAGTGACCCCTGACCTCCATGTGACCCCAAGCTGTGTGACCCCTGCCCCCATGTGACCCCATGTGACCCCTGCCCCTATGTGACCCCAAGCCATGTGACCCCTGCCCCACACGTGACCCCAAGCCCCTGTGTGACCCCAAGTGACCCCTGACCTCCATGTGACCCCAAGCTGTGTGACCCCTGCCCCCATGTGACCTCAAGTGACCCCTGCCCCTTGTGATCCCTCCCTCCCCACTGTTGATGACCCCTCGTGACCCCCATGTGACCCCTGACACCCACGTGACCCCAAGCTCCCATGTGACCCCTGCCCCATATGACCCTGTGACCCCTGCCCTCCACGTGACCTCAAGTGACCCCTGCCCCCTTGTGATCCCTCCCTCCCCCACTGCTCATGACCCCATGTGACCCCTGACCCCCATGTGACCCCAAGCTGTGTGACCCCTGCCCCCATGTGACCCGAAATGACCCCTGCCCCCATGACCCAACCCCCATGTGACCCTGCCCCACACATGACCCCATGTGACACCACACATGACCCCTGCCCCACAAGTGACCCTAACCCATGTGACCCCAGCCCCCCAAGTGACCCAAAGTGACCCCTGCCCGCCACATGACCTCTGACCCACTCTTGAGCCCATGTGACCCCACCCCCCCATGTGACTCCAAGTGACCCCTGCCCCTCACATGACCCCTGTCCCCCATGTGACCCCTGCCCCCACATGACCCAACCCCCCTGTGACCCCCCACCCGATGTGACCTCCCACATGACCCATGCCCCCATGTGACCCCCCACCACCATGTGACACCCCCACACCCCACGTGACCCCCCACGTGAGCCCCACCACCATGTGACCCCCCGTGACCCACACATCCCCTCCCCCATGTGACTCCCCTCACGTGACCCCCACCACGAGCCCCCCTCCCCCACGTGACACAACCCCCCCCACGTGACCCCAGCCCCCACGTGACCCCGCCCCCCACGTGACACAACCCGCCCCTCCACGTGACCCCACCCCCCCAACACGTGACACCCCCCACGTGACACCCCCCCACCCCTCCCACGTGACCCCCCCCAACATGACTCCCCCACGTGACACACCCCACGTGATCCCCCAACATGACCCCCCCACGTGACACACACCCCCCACATGTGACACACCCCCCCCGTGACCCCCCCACGTGACACCACCCACGTGACCCCCCCCACGTGACCCCCCCAACATGACCCCCCCACGTGACACACCCCCCATATGTGACACACCCCCCCCCCACGTGACCCCCCACCCCCCCCTCCTCACCAGCCAATCCCTGCTCCGCTCCCTTCGCTGTCAGCACCAGCGCTGACCCCGCCCACGCCAGGAGCGCGGCCCCGCCCACCCGGGCCCTGCAATGGGGGGGCGGGGTCAGGACTAAGCCACGCCCCCTCCCTCTCCCGGCACACCCACGGGCCCCGCCCATCACGTGACGTCATGGGGCGCAAGACGCCCCTCCCAATAAGCCCCATAGAGACCCATAACCAGCCCCATAACCAACCCCATAGACCCATAACCGGTCACATAGAGACCCATAACCAGCCCCATAGAGACCCATAACCAGCCCATAGAGACCCATAACCAGCCCCATAGAGACCCATAAGCAGCCCCATAACCAACCCCATAGACCCATAACCTGCCCCATAGCCAGCCCATAGCAGAACCCATAACCCACCCCATAGCCCACCCCATAGACCCAGAGCCCCCAAGTCCCACTCAAGCTCCGCCCCCCTTTAGGCCCCGCCCCTACTCGTAGCTCAGCCAATGGGGTGCGAGCGGCGCCAGGAGCTTCATGAGCAGCGAGGGGAGGACGTCGGCGAGGAGCACGGCCTGGGCCCCACATGTGTGGGGCAGGGACCCATAGAGATCAATGGGGACCCATAGAGATCAATGGGGACCCATAGGGATCAATGGGGACCCATAGAGAACAATGGGGACCCATAGAGATCAATGGGACCCATAGAGATCAATGGGGACCCATAGAGAACAATGGGGACCCATAGAGATCAAGGGGACCCATAGAGAACAATGGGACCCATAGAGAACAATGGGACCCATAGAGATCAATGGGGGACCCATAGAGATCAATGGGGACCCATAGAGATCAATGGGACCCATAGAGAACAATGGGACCCATACAGATCAATGGGACCCATAGAGATCAATGGGGACCCATAGAGATCAATGGGACCCATAGAGAACAATGGGACCCATAGACATCAATGCGGACCCATAGAGATCAATGGGGACCCATAGAGATCAATGGGGACCCATAGAGATCAATGGGGACCCATAGAGATCAATGGGGACCCATAGAGATCAATGGGACCCCATAGAGAACAATGGGGACCCATAGAGATCAATGGGACCCATAGAGATCAATGGGGACCCATAGGGATCAATGGGACCCATAGAGATCAATGGGGACCCATAGAGATCAATGGGACCCATAAGAGAACAATGGACCCATAGACATCAATGCGGACCCATAGAGATCAATGGGGACCCATAGAGAACAATGGGGACCCATAGAGATCAATGGGCCCCATAGAGATCAATGGGGACCCATAGAGATCAATGGGGCCCCATAGATGTGGGGCTGACCCATAGATGTGGGGCTGACCCACAGATGTGGGGCACACGCGCAGATTAAGGGGACCCATAGATGTGGGGCAGGGACATTGCTTAGGAAGACCTATAGACATGAGCCCAGCCCCATAGATGTGGGGCAGAGGCACAGGTTAGAGAGACCCATAGATGTGGTTTAGGGGGACCCATAGATATGGGGCCAGCCCCATAGATGTGGGGGGGGTTGACCCATAAATATGGGGCATGGATATGGGATAGGGGGAACCCGTAAGTGTGGGGTGTGACCCATACATGTGGGGCTGACCCACAGATGTGGGGCACACACACAGGTGAAGGGGACCCATAGATATGGGCCCAGCCCCATAGAGTGCCCTCAGCCCCACATCCCCCCTCCAACCCACTTATGGGGCAGCCCCATAGAACCCCCACATTGGCCCCGCCCCTTACCCCAGTCGAGAGCTGGTTGCAGTCATAGCGAGAGCTGTTGCTATGGGGCACCTATGGGGAGATGTGGGGCAGGTTAGGGGGCAGGTCATGGGGCGCTATGGGGCAAGCTATAGGGCAGTAAGGGGCAGGCTATGGGCTGATATGGGGCAGGTTATGGGGTGCTATAAGGAAGGTTATGGGGCACTGTGGGGCAGGTTATGGGGTGCTATGGGGCGAGTTATAGGGCAATAAGAGGCACGCTATGGGGTGATACGGGGCAGGTTATGGGGTGCTATGGGGTAGGCTATGAGGTGCTATGGGGAAGGTTATTGGGCTCTATAGGGCAGGTTATGTGGCGCTATGGGGCAGGCTACGGAGCAATACGGGGCAGGTTATGGGGCAATACGAGGGAGATTATGGTGTGCTATGGGGCAGGTCATCAGGCGCTATGGGGCACATTACAGTGTGCTATGGGCCAGGTCATGGGGCGCTATGGGGCACATCACGGTCTGCTATAGGGCAGGCTATAGAGCGCTATGGGGCAGGATGTGGGGCGCTATGGGGCAGGTGACGGGGTGCCTATAATAAAGGTTATGGGGTGCTATGGGGCAGGATGTGGGGCGCTATGGGGCAGGTTATGGGGCAGTATCGGGCACGTTATGGGGTGTTATAGGCAGGTTATGGGGCGCTATGGGGCAGGATGTGGGGCGCTATGGGGCAGGTTATGGGGTGTTATAGGGCAGCTTATGGGGCGCTATGGGGCAGGATGTGGGGTGCTATGGGGCAGGTTATGGGGTGCTATGGGGCAGGTTATGAGGCGCTATGGGGCAGGTTATGGGGTGTTATAGGGCACCTTATGGGGTGCTGTGGGGCAGGTTATGAGGCGCTATGGGGCAAGCTATGGGGTGTTATAGGGCAGCTTATGGGGCGCTATGGGGCAGGTTATGGGGTGCCATAGGGCAGCTTATGGGGTGCTATAGGGCAGGTTATGGAGCGCTATCGGGCAGGATGTGGGGCGCTATGGGGCAGGTTATGGGGTGTTATAGGGCAGCTTATGGGGCGCTATGGGGCAGGATGTGGGGTGCTATGGGGCAGCTTATGAGGCACTATGGGGCAGGTTATGGGGCTTTATGTGGCAGCTTATGGGGCGCTATGGGCAGGATGTGGGGCAGGGGGCGTGGCCTCACCGGCGCCCCCTGCTGGAGCTCCACGATGTCCCGCGCCGCGCTCAGCATCAGCACATAGGGGAGGTTGTTACAGAGCCCCAGGATCCTGGGGGGCAGGGAGCTATGGGGCAGGAGCTATGGGGCGGGAGCTATGGGGTGGGGGCTATGGGGTGGGAGCTATGGGGTGGGAGCTATGGGGTGGGGGCTATGGGGTGGGGGCTATGGGGTGGGAGCTATGGGGTGGGGGCTATGGGGCAGGGGTCTATGGGGCGGGAGCTATGGGGTGGGAGCTATGGGGTGGGAGCTATGGGGTGGGGCTATGGGGAGGGAGCTATGGGGTGGGAGCTATGGGGTGGGGGCTATGGGGAGGGAGCTATGGGGTGGGGGGCTATGGGGTAGGGTCTATGGGAGTGGGTTCTATGGGGCGGGAGCTATGGGGCAGGATCTGTGGATGGAGTCTATGGGCAGGATCTATGAGGTGGGGTCTATGGGGCAGGAGCTATGGGGCGGGAGCTATGGGGCAGGGGTCTATGGGGCAGGATCTATGGGGGTGGGGTCTATGGGGCGGGATCTATGGGGCGGGAGCTATGGGGTGGGAGCTTATGGGGCGACGGCTATGGGGTGGGGGCTATGGGGCGGGGGCTATGGGGTGAGATCTATGGGGTGGGGTCTATGGGGCGGGAGCTATGGGGCGGGAGCTATGGGGCAGGATCTGTGGGATGGAGTCTATGGGGCAGGATCTATGAGGTGGGGTCTATGGGGCAGGAGCTATGGGGCAGGATCTATGGGGTGGGGTCTATGGGGCGGGATCTATGGGGCAGGCGCTATGGGGCGGGAGCTATGGGTGGGGTCTATGGGGCGGGGGCTATGGGGTGGGGGCTATGGGGCGGGGTCTGTAGGGTGGGAACTATGGGGCTGGAGCTATGGGGCTGGGATCTATGGGGCTGGAATCTATGGGGCTGGAATGGATGGGGTGGGATCTATGGGGCAGGATATATAGGGCTGGATCTATGGGGTGGAATCTATGGGGTGAGGTCTATGGGGCAGGATCTATGGGGCACGATCAATGGGGCTGGATCAATGGGGCTGGGGTCTATGGGGCAGGTATCAATGGGGCTGGATCAATGGGGCTGGGGTCTATGGGGCAGGTATCAATGGGGCTGGATCAATGGGGTTGGGGTCTATGGGGTACGTATCAATGGGGCTGGATCAATGGGGCTGGGGTCTATGGGGCAGGTATCAATGGGGCTGGATCAATGGGGCTGGGGTCTATGGGGCAGGTATCAATGGGGCTGGATCAATGGGGCTGGGGTCTATGGGGCAGGTATCAATGGGGCTGGATCAATGGGGCTGGGGTCTATGGGGCAGGTATCAATGGGGCTGGATCAATGGGGCTGGGGTCTATGGGGCAGGTATCTATGGGGCTGGATCAATGGGGCTGGGGTCTATGGGGCAGTATCAATGGGGCTGGGGTCTATGGGGCAGGTATCAATGGGGCTGGGGTCTATGGGGCAGGTATCTATGGGGCTGGATCAATGGGGCTGGGGTCTATGGGGCAGTATCAATGGGGCTGGGGTCTATGGGGCAGGTATCAATGGGCTGGATCAATGGGGCTGGGGTCTATGGGGCAGGTATCTATGGGGCTGGATCAATGGGGCTGGATCAATGGGCAGTATCTATGGGGCAGTATCAATGGGGCTGGATCAATGGGGCTGGGGTCTATGGGCAGTATCAATGGGGCTGGATCAATGGGGCTGGGGTCTATGGGGCAGGTATCAATGGGGCTGGGGTCTATGGGGCAGTATCTATGGGGCTGGATCAATGGGGCTGGATCAATGGGGCAGTATCTATGGGGCAGTATCTATGGGGCAGTATCAATGGGGCTGGATCAATGGGGCTGGGTCTATGGGGCAGGTATCAATGGGGCTGGGGTCTATGGGGCAGTATCTATGGGGCTGGGATCAATGGGCTGGGTCTATGGGCAGTATCTATGGGGCAGGTATCTATGGGGCTGGATCAATGGGGCTGGGGTCTATGGGGCAGGTATCAATGGGGCTGGATCAATGGGGCTGGGGTCTATGGGGCAGTATCTATGGGGCAGGTATCAATGGGGCTGGATCAATGGGGCTGGGGTCTATGGGGCAGTATCTATGGGGCTGGATCAATGGGGCTGGGGTCTATGGGGCAGTATCTATGGGGCTGGATCAATGGGGCTGGGGTCTATGGGGCAGTATCTATGGGGCAGGTATCTATGGGGGCTGGATCAATGGGGCTGGGGTCTATGGGGCAGGTATCTATGGGGCTGGATCAATGGGGCTGGGGTCTATGGGCAGTATCTATGGGGCAGGCTCCTCACCAGAAGGCGGCTGCGTTCCTCCATGGGGTGCTTGGGGGGTCCGGGGGGGGCTCCGCTGTGGGGAGAGGGGGGAGAAATGGGGCTGCTTATGGGTCCCTATGGGGTTTCTATGGGGTGTCTATGGGTCCCTATGGGTTTCTTTGGGTCCCTATGGGGTTTCTATGGGGTATCTATGGGTCCCTATAGAGCTCTATGGGGTACCTATGGGTCTCTATAATTTCCTATGGGGTTTCTATGGGGTGTCTATAGGTCTCTATGTATTCCTATGGGGTCCCTATGTGTCTCTATGGGTCCCTATGGGTCTCTATGGGGTATCTATGGGTCCCTATGGGGCTCTATGGGTCCCTATGGGGTCTCTATGGAGTCCCTATGGGTCTCTATGGGTCCCTGTGGGTCTCTATGGGTCCCTATGGGTCTCTATGGAGTCCCTATGGGTCTCTATGGGTCCCTATTGGGGTCTCTATGGAGTCCCTATGGGTCTCTATGGGTCCCTGTGGGTCTCTATGAGTCCCTATGGGTCTCTATGGGTCTCTATGGAGTCCCTATGGGTCTCTATGGGTCCCTGTGGGTCTCTATGGGTCCGTATGGGTCCCTATGGGGTCCCTATGGGTCTCTATGGAGTCCCTATGGGTCTCTATGGGTCCCTGTGGGTCTCTATGGGTCCCTATGGGGTCTCTATGGGTCCCTATGGGTCCCTGTGGGTCTCTATGGGTCCCTATGGGTCTCTATGGGTCCCTATGGGTCTCTATGGGTCCCTATGGGTCTCTATGGGTCCCTATGGGTCTCTATGGGTCCCTATGGGGTCTCTATGGGTCCCTATGGGTCCCTGTGGGTCTCTATGGGTCCCTATGGGTCTCTATGGGTCCCTATTGGGTCTCTATGGGTCTCTATGGGTCCCGCTATGGGTCAGGCCCCGCTCCCCTGACCCGGCGGCAGCAGCGCTTCCTCCTCCTCCTCCCCGTCCGCCATCGCTGCCGGATCACATGACCCCACTCCCCCTCCCCACCTGACCCCTCAATTCCCCGCCTCA